CAATGAGGCTCTAGTGTTCGGTTAGTTTTGGTAAGGGAAGCAATACCAAAAGGTATTCAGTTTCAGTTTACATATGCACCAACCAACTGCAGTTTCAAGTAAAAAAAGTCGAATTTAATGACAATCTCAGCGAACTCATTCGGTTGAACAGCAGTTTTGGTATTATAGAACTGGAAGGTTGCTTTGATGCGCAGGTTAGAAAACGGCGCGCTTTTGACGCCTATCTAAGAAAGTGCTTCGCTCCACCAGCCCGGCGAATAGACATTGGCAATTCACTAATTCACTTTCGCATATATCATCATTTGGTATTATCTAGTGCCAACTTTTGACAAAACTCTCGTCGGATTGCAACGCAGTCTTCTAGTTCAACAGGTAGATTGCCTAATTTGACCAAAAAGCAGTAAGCTAAATAATAAATAAATAAATGTCTTCTTACCTCCTTTTATATTTATTGAATATACAAATGTACAGCCATACAAAGGCCGCCTTTAAAATACGGAATTAGGGAAGGCGGGCGACGGTGGAGTTGTTCGAACTCGGAACTCTCAGGCGACAAGTTGGTGACCTAACCACTTGACTGCCAATGTCCAAAGCCACTGTTTGTGTGTGGTTAAGTTTAGAATTGTTCTTTTTAATGGATCATGAGCGTTGAGTCTGATCACCTACTAATTCTCTCGCCTCTCAAGCCTCGAACCATTAGTCTTTGAAAAAATTCGCCTCCTCAGCTAGCTCGTAATTCTTTGCGCAATCCATCTGTTTGCACATGTTATGAGGAGAATCTTGGATAAGTGCTAGGATCAGAGCGGTGTGACGGAGTAGATCAACAATTGAATTCAAATAAATGTAAAGTGCAGTAAAAACTAAACTTTGCTTATGCTACCGCGCCCAAAGTTTGCCGAAGGTATTGGATCCCTCAGAAGCCAGTAGTCATGATGGAACAAAGTGAAACATCCAAACGCGCATAGAAACCCATTGGTACCTGCAAGGTCAACTCAATACAAGTCTGGATAAAGATTATAAAAGCCGTTAGTCCAAAATGGATAGCTAAATGAAAGTAGCTTCTGCATTAGGAAATACCCGAAGAATGCTTCAGTTGATATATAAAACTGCATTTTATAATAAACCAGTCAGAGAAACCATTTACGATAAGCACTGTACAGAATATCCACTATCTACTATAAAGAACAACGGCTTGATGACTGAACAGAGTGTTTTAGTGATCATTTCGATTATTCTGTTTCCAGGGAGGTTATTCCAGCGATTGCCGCGGTAATTCCGTAGACGGTAACATGTGAGCCTCTAGCAGCACGCAGCTGTATTTAATCAACAAGGAAAGGGAAGGCAGCGAGATCTTTTGGGCTTCTCTCCACTCTTTCTGGAGAGGTCATTCTATCGTAAACCCAAATACCAGTTTATATCACAGAATTTGATCGGAAGAGCATACTGCTGTATTCCGAGGTTTATTGTTGATTGTTCTGATCCTCAAGAGGGGATCGTGGAACGACTGCGCCAAACCACTGTGGGATAAGTTTAGTTCCAACCATCACAAATGTATTAACTTCTGTGATACTTATCCGCCTTATATCCATAAGGGAAATAAATTTCCCTAATCAGAAAAAAGGATTCTGATAAAGTACCGGTTTTGTCGACTAATTCTTCACTCTGCGTCAAGTCCTCCAATTATGCCTCACGCATCTTCTACCTACAGTGGCAGTGTTCCGTGACCTCAAAGGAGCCTTCAATTCAGTTGACCATGAGGCTCTAATGCTGCTTCGCAGACAAATTCAAAACCTTATTGGTTTGACCAAATTAAAGATGTCTTGGAACTAAAGCTGAAAACTAGTTCTCCACAATCAGAATGAATGTCTTTTGCATTTGTCTTTATTTTAGGAAAACTGAAAATCGATCCTATTCGTTGAAGATGTAGAATGAGGTCCTCGGAGTATGGAATGTTCTATATCGACGTACAGCATATTCACAAATCTTCGAGTATAGGACAGTTGGGTCACAATGCTTTATCCGAGGATCAACACACATCAAGTACCAAGCAAAAGTGATAAAATTTAATGCTCCATGATTTTAAGGCAATGTAACGACGGGTATTAGACGGAAGAAAAGGACTATTGTGATGCAAGACTTTGGTCACCTGGCTGTGGATACGCTATCAGATTTTTTGAACCCGAACAACAAAGAATCGGGCCCTCAGTCTGAAGGAGCATGCAAAAAACTTGGTGTCGGAAAGTGGCATGTTCACATAAGTCGGAAGCATTATCGATGCGCAGAAAAAACATTGGAGATAGGTGATCACCAGAACGCTCTGAAGCATTTGGAACAGTGTATACAGCGAACTCCAAACTGGCCACAAGTCCATCTTTTGAAGTCCAAAACCCACGAACAGGTAAATTTATATGATTTTGTCAATTTAACATAAAACGAATAGTTTAAGTATTTACGTTTGTATAACTTGTGTAAGCTTATATACTTACATTTGTGTTAGAAATTTACACTGGTTGTCACAGGAAATAAAATATACAGTTTTATATAAAATGCAGAGTACAAATGTGGCTGAAGTTTTTTTAATGTGCAAAACTTCTGACGTTATTCACTGTGATGTATTCCTTTTTGGTCAGGAGTTGGACCAGATAAAGTACACGGGAATTTTTATAAATGTCAATACGAGAGGGTGGGTGCCGAAAGAAGGAGTGTGTGGACGGATAGAAATAACAATATGATAGATCGAGATGTAGTGGATGAGGAGGATTGTCTAGAATCTTATTGGCAATAGTTGATGTGATCATGAATGAGTTCTGTGATTATTGAATCGATTGGGATTAATGATGCACGACTGATTATCATCAGTCATGATGATGATGATGATGATGATGATCATCATCACGACGAATGGTTTGGTTTAAAAGAGCGGTAAACACTACAGAGGAGCAATAGAGTAGAATAGTTAAAATGCATTAGTGAACCCAAGAGAACAGCACTGGTTATGAGGTTCGAAATTTCCTGAGTTGGCGTACCCGAAAATGTGTGTGGACCGCCAAAAATTACTGTCGATAGTGACACCCAGGTACTTCACTGAGGTCATTCTGGACACAAATTTACAAAAAGGGTACCAGAGTCCGTTGGAGGTAAGGACGGGAAAGACGGAGGATACACTCTACGCGCCTAACTCTGTTAAGATTGAAACCAGATTGATTGGAAAACTGTTGGATGTGTGATTGATTTTCAGCGAAAAAATAGAATTCCGAAGGAGATGAAATTTTCTGACACAAAAGGAAGTCGTCAGCAAACTTTGGAATCTATGCAGGGATGGGACCGAAAGGTAACTGATAAAAGTAGAAAAAAGATATGGAGATAGAACATTATCTTGAAGTATACCAAAATTTTTACCAAGAGGATTTGATATTCTCCCTCCAAATTTGGTGCACTGGACCCTCTTTGTGAAATATTCAGAAAGCGAAGAGAGTAGATACCTCGAAGTGCCAAAAGATCCAAGTTTGAAAAGAAGGGATAATCGAGAGGCAGAATCAAACTCGGAAGAATGGTGAAGAAAACACATCGAACGGACTTTGCTGCTCCGTACCGACTTAGTTATCAAATAAAATAGAGCAGATATGGTAGATAGTGTAGATCTGTTGGGTTTATATGTAAACTGGAGAATATCACAGGGGATTGTGGTAACTGACTGCAAACGACTCAGGATAGTCTTTCAAGTTAACTTTAAAGCTGTAGAGGTCAACGCGATAGGACGAAACCGTTTTGCAAAAACAGTTGAGGACGAGGATTTGGGAATTGGAATATTGGTTACTTGACTCCAAAAATCAGAAATCGACTGGGAAGACAGGGAATCATCAACGAGGGACGCTATCATATTGGCCAGGGAAGCTTCTCTAAATTTGAGAAGTGCCGGAGGAAGACCATCTGGGTGTGCAGCTGACGATGCTTTGGAGGATCGGAGAAGCTCAAAGATTTCATCATTGGTAAAAGGCACTGAATTGGATTCATTGCACGGGAAGGAGGGAATCTGTCTCTTTTATGATGGGTGGATGAAAGTGGTGCTGAGGCTGCTGACGTTAGTGCTGAAGAACGATGGGCACAGTCATCTTAGCAGGAGGGGTGCACTTAAGTGCAGTCTACCATCCAACTAGTCTGCGTTTTTTAATCTGAGCATTTCTCGTTTTCCTTTAAAAAGAACCTTAACAAATATTTTCAGTGATGTAGTACTATTTAGGAACTGTATTCATGGACGAGTAACAACGTAAACATCAAAACGTTAGAGTAAATTTAGTGGTGCTTTCATTCGAACTGACCTATTTTAATTTTTAGAAAGTTCCATCATAGTGTGAGACTGACTGTAAGACGTCCTTCAAACACAGCTCACAGTTCAACCTCTGAACTGAGGAGTTGCAAAGCAATCTGCACTCGGGTAGCGAAGCTAGCCACCAATAATTAACTAAGGTTTAAACGTCAGAGACACTGCATACTAATCCCAAAACACAATTGGGTAGAATGTACACAAAGCAATATCTCCGTATCCATCATTAGTTAATTAATAAAGAATAAGGGAAAACCACATTGAAGTAAAAAATGCATAAGTGAGATTACAAACATTTTATTTACTATTTGTGCAAATGTGGCTTTGAAATCAACAAAAATGATTTTGTGCGTGTCCAGAAAACAGGCCTATAAAACAGCACAATAGATCCTTCAATACTAACAAGGTCAAGATTTTATACTCTTCTCATTCCCAGGATGCCATTTAATAAATACCAGATCTTTTATTATTGATATCATTACTACTGCTAGACAGGCACGGTTGCATCGGCAAGATTTTGTGTTTCTCTTATTGCTTTTTAATGCAGACTCATTATTAAGTTACCGATGGTAATTAGCGAAAAACGTTGCTTGGCTTAATTTGTCTGATGTTTGTTCGTGACTTAATAGCTCTGCCTGACTGTTCTCTATTCATTCATTTGGTACAAAACATGTAGATGGAGGACTACGCTTCCGCAATTGGTTCTTATAGAAGCGCATTGGCTTTGATACAGTGCAACGAATTCGATTTGACTGTAGACAGCGAGTCAGATCAACCAATAGCAACTGATCCACCGCCTGACGAGGGTATGGGATCACCGGAAAAAGAAAGAGAGCAGGAACTGCAAGAAAAAACGCAAATGAAATCGACCCACGCAGTTGCAGTTACATTGAGGCATTCCATGTTACCACACCTGATTCGTTTATACTTTCAGTATTATCAATCCTTTCTCAGAGCCGGATCCAAGCAGGAAGCTCAAGTTCAACTGCGGCAGGTTGGTTCACTCACGAACGAGTACTGCTTGGCTGATCAAAGTAACACGGATTCACGAACATTCACTCCTGGACATTTGATTATTTTGAAACCTATGATTGAGTTCTATCGAAATGATGAATGCGACCGAATGGAAGGTTTGCATATCCTCAATCATGCAATTCAATTCTTGGAGTCCAATGCGGAGATCGATGAAAATTTTGCCAAACTGATTGAAAAGCTGCGCGAAGATGGTACATTTGTGATCATTCCGGGTAAAGTACGCTTAGCAAGCTTCCTTAAAATATCAAATTGGGTATTGCACTAAGTTTTCTTATGGTGTTTAAATCGATGGCGCATAGAAAAATATCATAAAATAAACTTTAATGCAGGTGTGCATTTTTTTGAGGTGATCAGTGTGCAGCTGATTCATTGGAAAATCCTTTACATTTGCCTCAGCCACGTTTGCGCGTTTCCATTTGTGATAATGTATTGTAGGTTAAAGGACCATTATGAGACACTACATTGAAAAGAATTTTAGATTATGCTACTAAGTTTATACTGTGGGCAAACATATAGATTCTATTTATTATGGTATTCGTTTTATTTTCAGGTAGACAAAACACGAAAATCAATTTTGTTCGTTAACCAGTTCCTTCGGTTAAATAGGGAATTAATACACCAGTAAAAGGTTTTTTTTAAAATAAATCTAAGATGATTAACTGATACAGATGTGGCGTACAT